TGAAAGACGTGGGAGTTAGGGAATATGCGATATCGAGAGAAAATTCAATCTGTGTTCTCTCCGCTCTCTTTCTCAACTCTCTCTCTCTCTCTCTCTCTCTCTCTCTCTCTCTCTCTCTCTCTCTCTCTCTCTCCCTCTATCTCTCTTTCTCTTCCCCCACCCCCCCCCCTCCTCTCTCTATCAGTCTTTTTCTTCTCTCTCGATTCTCGTTCTCTCTTCTTACGTTCTCTCTCCCTCTCATTATCTGTCTTTGTCGTTCTCTCTTTCTCTCCCTCTTTCCCCCAACTGTTTTCCGACCACTCATTATCCCGGTTCCAAATACAAATAACTGTTTAGGAAGCCGTTTTTAAAGTGCGAATGATTACGTAATCGTGATGTGTAGGTGTGTCTCAAAGTTCTTTTAAATATGGGCAGGTGTATTATGGAAATACGGATTAACCAAAAAGCTATTTAAAAAGACAGACCGAGGGTTGTAGTAAAATGAAGAATTCGCGAAGAAAAAAACCCAGACAGAAAACGGTACAACATTTTTAGTTTTCTTTTATTGTAGGTGCATACGAGAATCTGTAAACAACTGTTTTTTTCTGCATCAATAATTAACAAAACGTGCCATGTGTCCTGACATTCTAAATAAGAAAGTAAAAAGCTGAATGCTTGACAATTAATCAGCAAAAATGGCTGTCTTTTACGGTGTAAATATAAACGAGTACTAAATTAAAACAGATTTTCACAGAATACCATTCTTCAACCGGCTTTTTAAAATGTATTCTGTGTTCTAATTTGTCTTTGTTGAGAAAAAAATGACGTTTACAATTTATGCAAGAGAGAAAATGGGAAGTATAGGTGATTGATTTATACATGTGGCTGTGTATGTGAATGTGTGTGTTTGTCTGCGTGTATGTGTTTGTATTTGTGTGTGTGTGTGTGTGTGTGTGTGTGTGTGTGAGTGTGTGTGTGTTTGTGTTTGTGTGTGTGTGTGTGTGGGTGTGTGTGTGTGTGTTAGTGTACGAGTGGGTGTGTTCGTGGGGTGTGTGTGTATGTGTGTGTCTGTGTATGTCTGTTGATGTGTGTGTATATGTGTGGGTGTATGTGCGTGTCTATGTGTGTCTGTG